TCTTTCCCATCTCATATTTCGGGGTTAATTGTTTAGTTATTTTTTTTTTCTCCAAAAATTTAATAGATGTGATTACATATTCATTGATGCTCTTTCAGTCTGTAGTACCTTTATCTGTTCAAATTTATCCTTACTTTTTGTTGTTTAGTGCAGAGTTGGTTTTAGAGGAGAAAATTGAATACAATGATCTTGTGAAGTCAGTTCCCGATGGGAACACTTCAAATGATAATGAACACACCAATATCCAGACAGTCCAGCCAGATAAACAAAAGGACGTGGTACCCAAAAATGGTAAATGCAAAATGAAAGTAAATAATTCTGTTTGAAATATAGATTTTCTTTTTAATAATAATATTAAAGACTGCTATGTCTTGACTCGTGAACATATATTTTTGATGTTGTTATAAACTTGCTGATAAACTAGCGGAAGCTCAAAATTCTGTTTCTGCTACTTCATTTTGATTGCTGCTGTGTTCCCCTGTTTCCCTTTATTCTCTATATATTTTCTTGTGTTTTTATTTTTAGTTTATTTTCTGCTCTTTTCTGCATTCATTGTTTTAACACACAGAAATTGGAGTTACATGGATGCCTGTACAGATTACAGAGTGTTCTATCTGTTTATTATATGATCCAGGATCTAAATCGAATACAGAAGATCGTGGAGATCCCAATGATCCTCATGTGAGACTAAAGCGTGATTGTGTTGGAATTATGGCTGCATTCAAACTCAAAGGTCCCTCTTGTCATATTGTTATTGTGGCTAACACTCATCTTTATTGGTAATGTAGTGACTCGTGAGTGTGTATGTGTGTTTTACTTCATTTTTTTCCATTTTTGACTTTTATTGAAATTTTGTCTCAAAGTGGATTCAGTTATGGTAATATGTGTTTTGCTTAACTTTAGTGGTGGAATTTATAATTTATAAATTACATATAAATTTCTGCCCCAGGGATCCTGAATGGGCTGATGTCAAGCTTGCACAAGCTAGATATCTTCTATCTCGCTTAGCAAAATTTAAAACACTGGTATCAGATAGATATGGATGCATACCTGAAGTCATTGTGGCTGGTGATTTCAATTCTACTCCAGGAGATATGGTACTATAATTCCTAAAATCTCAACTTCCCTATTTCTTATTTTTGTCTAGATTTCTGATATCCTTGTTCTTTTGTTATATCCCCATCCCTGCATAGATACTTGCATGATGCATTAATCTGCCACCAACTCATGGCCATGGATTAACCCTCAAACTCAAAGGAAAGGATAAAAATGACGTAAAAGTAGTTTCTGTCAAAGGGAAATCACAAAATGTGTCCAGGGATGTCACAAAATCTGCTTCATACTTTACCTCCTTTTTGGGGGGAAATGGCAGATAATTTTTTCTAGTTAATTGATGATCAAACTGTGCTAGTAATCTTTAAGTACAAATTCTATGGATTTTGACAAAAGATCTTGAACACAATTGAATGTTGATAGCAATGGATTAAAATCTGTTTATTTCTGTTCAAAAATAAAATATAGAACTCTTTGTATGACTATAAATAGCTAAACCAATTTAACACAACAAAAGGTATTTTTATTTTTATATGTAAAATATAGCATCTTTTGAGATTTTTTTGATCAGCATTAGAATGAAAAATTGCAATACTGTGAGTAATTTGTATTGTCATAGCTCTTTTCTTATCAATTTGTTTGTCCGTTTTGCTTTTAGTCATGCTTGAGTACTTGTTCATAGCTTTGGTTTTTGGATGTGCTTTCAAAATATAAGCTGTATTTCCTGCAATGTTTTACTAATCTGTTGAATCTCTCATGTTTTACAGGTCTATCAGTACCTTGTATCAGGCAATCCTTCATCAAACTTGATGCCGAACTGTTTAGAGGAGTCTCCTATTCCCTTATGTAGTGTCTATGCTTCTACAAGAGGAGAGCCACCATTTACAAACTACACACCTGGCTTCACTGGAACACTCGACTATATATTATTTTCCCCTACTGATCGCATTAAACTAATTAGTTTTCTCGAGCTTCCAGACTCCGACACAGCTGATATTGTTGGTGGACTGCCAAACTTCAGTTATCCAAGTGATCATCTACCAATTGGTGCTGAATTTGAAATCATCAAGGAATAAATGTTCTTGTTTGTTAGGTGTTATTTGAGTTATCAGGTTTCATGTTCATTCTCTCCCCTTTGTGAAGATGAAAGCAAGGCTATGGGAGCAAGTGTACAATGAATTAAGTCATAATATTAACACAGGCACTTGGCAAGAAGGCCGAACAGTCACCAAAAAACAAAGATTATTTGGGAATTTTTGTTTTATGTCGAAAAATTCATGGAGTTTGACTGACTTACCCTCCAAAATTTGCACGAGTCTTTTCAAAGAATTGTTAATGTTGTATTCTCAGACTCGATAGTTTCAAAAATTGTGTTATTCTTTGATTTTGGTAAACATGTATCTCATTTTAGACAGTATATTTTGTTATGTATTATTTTTGGAGATAACATTTTTGTGAGTAAATAAATGACATTATTTATTTCAAAGGCAAACTGGGGGGAAAAAGTATCTTCGCTAATTTTCTTTGTTGATCTTGAATCTGAAGTGATCAATTTTGCCCATCAGGTATGTTCTTTCAGGCCACTATCACTTACTGCCCCCTTCAGTATTATGACCATCATCTTTTTGGTTGGTGGTTATTATTTTTTCATGGTTGTGGTGCGAGTTATAAAGCTGCCCAAACGAGACAGAAATCTGATGATCATCACGATTGTGACCCTATTTGATGGCCCTACGATAACGACTGCCAGTTAAACACTAACCACTTGATTTAAGAAGTCAATGTTCTTAGCCTATTCCCTTGTCAGATTGTGTATATCACTGTTTTTCCCATAACTCATTACTTTATGATATGAGAATACACTTCCTATTTGCTATCAAATTCCGTGTGTCACCGTATGTAAGAACGGAAACAACAGAATCCAGTATGGAGTTGCTAATTTCAGTAGCTAACTACCTATTTTTAATGTTGGTGCGAAATGAAATCAATTTACTGGTTTTGCTAGTCTAGGGAATCTTGGAATTACAGGTTGTTCCAAAGCTAATTCTGCTCTGCATTATCTAAATGTTGGACGGCGCTCATCTATCTATTCGATTGATGCTTAGGTCATTTTACTGTTATCATAAAAGCGTTGGACTGCAGCAGGGCCCTCACGAATGTCGCACACAGTTATGATCGGAGGGATTCGTTTCAAGTGTGGGACCACGAATGCTGCAAGTTGCAAGTTGGGCAGGTACGGGTAGGTTTAGATTCCTGTTTGCAGTTTTAATATTTTTAAGGTTGGTAGTTAACCACGCATCTTGCTCCGTGTCAAACTGTCAATTAAGGTAGCTATATAATCTGTCAACTGTGTAGATGTGTTACGCTTTAGATGCATCAACTAGTGCTTTATTCTAAAAGAAGTTCTAGAACATGATTATATATACAAGCCATATCTAATGCTTAGATATAATGCCTAGTAAAATCTTCAAAAGTTTCTTGATGCAAAATTAAAAAAAAGCTTCGATATAATGCCAAAAATGAGGTCATTAAAACATTAAATTATCACATGGTCATATAAGCCATTAGATATCATTTACCTGTCTCCAAAATTTGAACCAGATCCAAAGGAAAGTGGGGGAAGTGGGGCACATGGCGTTTAAAGATCCTTGCATATCCGTCTTCAGTGGAAGGTAAATGTAATTTTTCCCTATGACTTGGGAAACAGTGTACAGGAAGGTACTTTATGGCTTTATCCCCAGGGTCAGCATCAAAAACTTTAATTGGGGGCCCGTGAGATACATCAAATATTTGACATTTCAACTAACTTTTCCACGAAGCGGATTCGAGCTTGAACTAAATTCTTGAGGTATCCAAAATAAATGCTCAGTACATTTTGACACAGTTTATGAAATTATTTTTCTTACTGGATCTTGATTAAGTAAAGGTTGTGCTAATTAATGCACGTGAAAATTCTTGAAAATTTCTCAAATTCATTATTCTATCCTCGAGAGACGAACCTTTTAAGTTTAAACAAAGATAAGTTTATCCCAATTTCTTATCAGGCCTAAGTCTAGGCATACAGTAAACATATTACCCAATGTTTAAGCTTCCCTTACATGTTCATGATTCACACATTTCAGTTTCATGTTTTGTTGTGTGCTCTGCTTCACATCTGCTGTATTTTTTAATAGAAAAACTTTCAAAAAGTACTTTTAAATTTATATCCGAAAAGTTTCTTAGTCCTGCACTCTCACTATTGTCTTCTTTCCCATTTTGTGGGGTGGTGGGAGGAAATTATTATATGGTCTAAGATCACTATAGGATCAACCATGTGACTTTCTGGTACAAATTAGTATTTGTTAAATTTTTGGTGCCATGCTTCCCTGTCCTTGGAAAAAAGCTGCCACTGTGTAGAATCAAACAAATCCATCAAGATGAGTGGTGACAAATTCATGATTTATCTCAGAATGGGAACTTTGGCACATACGTTGATTTGAGTTCTGGAATTTTCTATATATCCAAGTGAATCTATTTTGACAAAGGAATGTAATGTATGCGGGTTAACTAATCTCATATTGAATTAATGTGTCATTAATTTAGTTTGGAACTATTTCATTTTTGTGTCCACTCAGACATGTGAATGTTCTGGAATACGTTTACTGATCAGAAGAGATGCTCTTTGGGCTTCAAAAGATTCTTAAAATTAATGTCTCGACTTTACGTGGTCAAAACTTGTTAAAATTGAACTTATGTTTTAGTAGTGCAATTGGCTAATCTTGATTAGCACATATACTGATGTAGTAAATTAATTAGCACTTCAGGAGCCTTTGGCAAAAAAAAAAAAAAAAAAAAAAAGGGGCCCAATAAAAAAATGGAGGAAAAAAAAAAAAAGGAAAAGGAAAAATTAGAAAAAGAAA